GGAGTTGTGACTGTTAGGGATATACACCCTAGCAGAACCTGCACGGCAGTCAGGCAGTCAGGCAAATATGTGAGATAAACGTTGTTGTAGTTTACACTCAGTAAAACAGATACAATGTGCTAGTTAAATAGTTTATTCCAGTAAGATTTTTAGCATAGTCAAACAGTCCATATATCATACACTAGTTCAGTCCGTCCGGGGATTATTCAGTTGCAAAGTCCAGTGTCGAAAAAGAGGTCATTAAACTTACAAATATCAGTCCTGTAATATATCTCTTCGCAGTTAGAGATATGAAGAAGTTAAACCTCCTTTCTTCTTTCAGCAACAGCAAAGAACACGCAGTTATCACACCATCAATCCATCATCGTCAGCAAGCAATCCAGTAAGCCAGCAATCAATCAGGTTCTCTTGCTCCCTCTTATGGCGATTTTACAATCGCACCCAAAATTACATGCTTTGCAGTTTAAAGTGACACACACTTAAACTCACAATCATAGTCTATATATATTATTTTTACCCAAACTACGTTAGGTAACCTATGTTATTCCTAACAGTGACTAGCTTGCATAGTTCTCAGCCTTTCCCTAGCTGGAACATACAACTTATTTCCCACTCAAGCTAACCCATCTTTTTATTATGCAAGTATGTTTATTGACACTAAACCACTCATTCGTTTCTAAGGCTTTTTGAAATCTGTGGTGGTGGCATTGTCTAAGGTGCAGGAGTCATTCTTCACCTGAGAGCATGTGATGACCTGAGCTGCTAATTGGGAGGTTGGGATCATGGGCTTAATTACTTCCACCTTGACACTTATAGTCACTTATTGCGGTAGTCTGGACAAGGCATCTGCCAAAAGATTTTTCCCTTCCAGTAAATACTTCCAGTAAAGTACTTCTGGTTTTTCCCTTCCAGTAAATACTTCTGGTAAAGTGAAATTAAAGCATTGGAAGTACTGTGCCCACCAGACTTGTTTTGGAGACATTTTCCATGGGTTTTTTAGTGCTTCCAAGTTCTTGTGGTTGGTCCATACTTGGAAAGGTATTTTACTTCTTTCTAAGAAATGTCTCCAAGTTAGGAGTGCCCACCTAACTGCAAAAGCCTCTTTTCCCCATATTGCCCATCTCTGTTCAGTTTCAGTTAACTTCCTAGAGGCGTATACACATGGTTGTAATTTGCCTTCTTCATTCTCTTGGAGTAAAACTGCACCAACAGCCACATCACTGTCATCAGTCTGGATTACAAATGGTTTCTTCTGGGTGTGGGTGTTTTAATACAGTTCAGCTGAAAGAGTCTTTTCAGTTTTTCAAATGCTGCTTGGCAGTCCATAGTCCAATTCAGTGGTTGGCTTTGGTTTATCTACTCTCTTGGTTTTTAACAGATTTGTAATCAGCAACGCTATTTGGGCAAAAGAGGGGATAAATTGCTTATAAAAGTTAGCAAACCCCAGGAAGTTCTGCAATTGTTTGCAAGTATGGTGGGTTTCCAGCTCGAAAACTGCTCTGACTTTTGGGAGATCCATTTCCACCTCCTGGTGAGAGATTTGTACTCTAGGTAATCTATCTTACCATGGTGAAAATTACATTTGGAGAATTTGGCAAACAACTTAGCTGCCTTTAATTTCTTCAAGACCTCTTGCACCAATTTAACTTGTTGAGTCTTAGTTTCAGTATAAATCCATATATTATCAAGATAAACCAAAACTCCCTTATACAAATGCTCATGCCGCACCTCATTAATTAGCTGCATGAAAACAGCAGGGGCCCCTTGGAGTCCAAATGGCAAAACTTTGAACTGAAAACATCCTAATGAACAATTAAACAGTTTTCCATTTGTCTCCTTCTCGGATCCTGATCCAGTAATAAGTCTCCCACAAGTCTAGTTTAGAAAAAAAATCTCCCCTTTGCCAGATGAGTCAGCATGTCCTTCATTAAAGGTAGGGGATAAAGATTTTCCAGCTAGGGGATCCTCAAATCTCCATCTCAGGGCTGTCATGAAGCAGTTGAAGTTGCAAAGCTCCAGTGCATCTGGATTATGGAGACTCACCATCGCAACATGCAGCTGATCCTTCTAGAGCCAGGGTGACAACCCCGACTTTGGCACCTTCTTTAGGGAGATCCCTCCCATACTCCTGCATGTAAGTTGGTACATGTGTGAGGAAAAATCTCAGTTGCTGGGGATTCCCATCAAATTTGACACCAAAAGGATGCACCTTCTGTTCTAAGGGTGGAAGCCTCCTCTCATGGAGTCACAAGCCTTGCTTTGCATTGAAATGTCCCCTGGGCAGATCTTCCATGGTAGAAATGGGTTTATCAGTAGCCCCCGTGGTTTCAGCCAATGCCCCTGGGGTTGGATATCCTTTTTGTTCATTGGTAGTCTCCTTTTGTACTCCTAACTGGCTTGCAGCACAAGCCTGGGTATCCTGGATCCACATGCCATGGATGGCCTCCCTCATGAAATTCATGGCTTTCCTCAGGAGTTAGTTGGGCCAGTCTGGAGCTCCTTCCAGTTCATCATTGTCATAAATGTCTCCCATTTCCTGCTTCCAACTAGGTTGTTGGCTCCCACGGGTGAGGATGACATCTTCGGGTCAACCACTTCAGCCTTCCATCTTCCCAACATTGGTGGACCACCTCCGCTTGGAGCAATGCTTGAGGCAATGTTCTCCTCAACCCAGGCATTGAGGGCCTCAATTGAGATTTTTGGGGGTGGGGTTCTTCCCCAGTTTCCAGCCTCTTCATGATCACTGCCCTGGGCAGACATGGTGTACATAGTCCCCACGGTAGGGCTGTTATCTCTCTGGGTTAACCAGTTTGCAGTTCTTCCCTAATGTAAGGTCTTGACTCTCCAATCTTCCCAAGAAAGCAAGACTCTTGAAACTGCAGTTGTTCCAAAAGGAGCTTTTATTGAAATCTAGGCGTGAACTGAAGCTTCTCAAGTTAAAACCAACTATTTAAAGCAATGCTAATCAAACCCCTTCCACAGTACATCATTGCAAGGAATCTCATATAGAGATTAACACAGTAATGCAGGAAACAGAAACAGAAACTTCATGTACAGATCACTCCATTTCTCCTCCCCTCTTCCTCCCACCAAAATGCCAGTGTCCCTGTAGAAATATCTGGGACCTGACATTTTACTAGTTTAGCAACTTTTTTAATCTCTTAAAAATCAGTATGTCAACTGTCCCAACTTGGTGTGTTAGAAAAGAAGGTCCATGGTTAGCCAAAGGTATACTTTACTAAAGCCAAGCAGTTATAGAAGAAGTGAAGTTGGACCTGAGGTTTTCCCACCCAAAGTTTATGATTAACTTTTCCAAGTCCTCCTCTACCCCACTGGTTATCAAGAAATGTCCAAACAGATGCTAACAAATTGTTTTAGGAACAGTCCCTTATCTTTGCAGCTAGCATTCCTTTCTTGACCTTGAAGCAGCCGGTGTTTCTTGTGTTTCTCATGGGATGAATTGAGGTTTGGTTTGGTTTCCTCATGGTATCCCCTAGCAACCCTCCCTCTCATTCCACCCTGCAGTTCCTTCCCCCTGTTTCTATGGCAGGCTGCAAGCAGCAAGCCAGGTTGCAGCATAGCTAAATCAAAGTATCTTTTGGCAAAACAAAAATGTTGTCATTACCTGCAACAAACAGTTATAATGTTATATCCCCCAGCCATCATGGAGAACTCTGAACTGAAGTCTACACATCTTAAATTTGTCAAGGTGAGAAATACTGTATTACATTCTGCAAAAATAAGGCCACTGTCCTATATCATCCCTATATCCTATTGAGCTTAGTCGGAATTACTCGTTGACAGGCACAATGTGTTGCAAGCTACTGCATTTTGCTTGGAAGCTGAAAGGCTAATTAACACATTCAAAGAGGTTCCACTGAAGCCAAAAGACTGAGATTAACTTAGTTAAATTTGGAGTGAAACAGACTGAGATAGTGTTGTGTAATGGTTGCATATCTCTACATTTATATTATATATTATAATTGCTGATATCTCTCCATTAACAGTTCGTTCAAAATCAATGTCCTTTCAGGAATGACCCATTGGGATACCCATATCAAAATAACTTACCTTATGTCCAGACAGAACTTGAAAATAACATTTAAAGTAGCACAGTATTTAAACAAAATGATTCGGTTGAGATCTGTATATGTGGGATTGATTGGGGTAGATTGCAAGGGTGACTCCAAAATATAATGTCATTATATTTTATCTATATCTAAAATTATTGTACATTGTTACAATTTTATTTTGGATTGTATTTTATTACTATTTCATCTTAAATTGTATTTTGTCTAGATTCCATTTTAAATTGTATTTTATCAAATTTCATTTTGAATTGCTTTTATTAAATTTTAGTAACAAACTTTGTTACTTTGGAACTTTGTACTTTGTACTTTGATATGGTCCAAGGGCTAATCAGTAAAAACTTATTATTATTAATGTCCTTTCTGAAGCAAGATCACTTGCATCAAAACAAGAGGGTCAAAAATGTCAACATGGCAAATACACAATCAAAATATTACCCCTTTTCACCAGTGGTGGGATTTAAATTTTTTTACTACTGGTTCTGTGGGCATGGCTTAGTGGTTATGTGACTGGGTGGGCATGGCGGCACCTTGCTGTGAGTGACATCAAGTTGGCTACGCCCACTCAGTCACATGACCGATGCTGCATTGGCAGGGTGATTTCCTATGTACCTTCCCCCCTCCTCCGCCCTTAGGCTGACAAAAAAAAAAAAAGCCCAACTAAAGATCGCAACTGCCTGCCATGTCTGCCTGCTGAATGGGTTTTGTTTTGGGGTGGTTTTGTTTTGTTTTTGGCCAGAAGCTCCTCGGAGATAAATTTGCACCGCCAAATCTTACTGTACCTCATTGTTGTGGTGCTGCCTGTTGCTGCTGCAGGTGCTGCTGCGGCCGTGTGGCTGCCCAAGTAAAGAACCACACTGGCTCAGGGTGACTGTGAGGAGCAAAAGAGGAAGCCAAGGCGCTTGCCCCATAGCAGCCAACTTCGCTCTCTCTCACTCCGGTTAGGTGCTCCTGGCATGCACAAGGAGCGTGAAGGGAGGCAGACACTGCAAGGATGTGTTTTAAAAGTGAGAGAACTTTGCCCAAGACTTCTTGTGTATTCAGGGGCTACATCTCTCCCAATGATGAGCTGGTGGCGATCTAATGAAACATCTTCCAACTCTTAAAGATTGACTTTAAGAGCGTCCCCACAGAAGAAGCTGAGAACCGAGAGCAAAAGTAGTGGCGGCAGGGGCAACAGGGGCATGCGGTCCCCTCCTGGGTGATAGCCAGGGGCTTTGGCACCTCCTCTTTTCTTCAGAGGCGTGGTGTCTGCCTCCCTTCATACTCCTTGTGGAGGATGCACATGCCTGTCATCCCCGCTGCTACTACTTTTGCTCTTGGTTCTCAGCTTCTTCCATGGGGGCGCTCTTAAAATCAATCTTTAAGTGGTCCTGGGACATCCATGCGCCTGCCTGGCACCCGCCCTCCTGGAGCACGCTTTCTTTCTTATAAATGGATTTATAAGGGGAAAGGTGATTCTTCAGATAACTAGGTTCTTAAGCAGTTTTAGAACTTCGGAGGTTAAAACTAAAATATAATTCTATATTACATAACAATGACAGATTCAGATAGACATCATCGTTACTTCCAGGCTTTTCCTGGAAAGAAAAGATGGCGGCACCTTGTTTGCCAATGTGGGATATAAGGGATATAGGCCTAATGGATTGGAAGGTTTTTGTGTATGTGAGCATAGTCTGAGACCAACAGTCTTTACTAGAATGGTGAGTTTGAAAATTTGCAGACAATCAAAGAAGCAAAATCATGAAAAATAAATAAGCTTTAAATAAGATTGCACATAAAGAAAATGTTCATTCTCAGGGCTAGGGATAGAGCCTGCATCAATTTTTTAAATGCAGCTTTAAGACTGACTTTTGTATATGTCAATTCCTTGCCCTAAATTTTAGATTCTGTAATGTCAAGCTGTAAGTAGAAATTTGACAAAGAGCTGCTGGATGTTCAGTTCTGAAAATGTCACTATTGTAAGTCAAAACATAAAAGAACTAAATGTTGTCATCTTGCAGCATAAGACTATAAATGTTTAGCAAGCATTTTTAAAGTAGTGCTTAAGTTGGTTCTTTAAAAAAAAAAAGAGAGCTGCATTGAGCAGAACTAGCTGCATTGGGCAGCTCTAATCCAATTTAGAACCACAGCATCCAGCACAGAGATCTAATCCTTCCTTTTCTGTGCTACTTTCCTGCTGGAAAGCTTCTCACTCATTTCTTGCCCTCTCCCAAAGATATTATTTACAGTAAAAATAGTAGCTTTGGGGAAAATAGCAAGAAAACTGGTATTTTTTTCATGACAATATACAGCACTCTGTTGTTTTCAGCTGCCTCCCCAGGAAGACACGTGTCTTGAAAATATATGTCAGATCCCTAAAAGTGATACTGCCATTCAATTGGGAGAAGGGGAGGGGGTTTGGATTCGATTCATTAGTATCGCCTGTGACAACTGGTATTTTATAACTTGTATCTTGGTGCTGGAGTGCCCTTAGATTTTCTCACCTCTTGGGGAATGTGGTAGGTGGGAGGGCCATGTGGGTTGTTTCATTTTGAAAGCCAGCAGAGATGGCTATGGGAATGCTTCCTTATCTATATCTCAGAGCGGCCAGTACAATAACATCTTCACACCTGTAGATTGGCTGAATCCACATCTGGCTAAAGGGAGGGGCCTCTACTGCTTTAATTCTACTTGTCTTGCCTAAGGGTAGTCAGACATTGCTTTGAATGGCATGCTTTCTCTTCTCCTTAATAAAAGCTTCCTTTTGAAATAGTTTGTTTCAAGAGTCTTCACTTTCTTAAGTTAGAAGGAGAGGCAATCCTTACAATATGCTTCTTGTACTGTGTTTAATTCTCATTCCATGGGGTAATCTGAGCTTTCAAAGAAAGACAGTAACTTAGGTATATATTTTTGGTTTATTTTTGGGATGTTCAGAGAGAAGAAATGTCTCTTTCTGTAACTCTTCTGCAGATACTCAAATACTGGATGCAAGCACAGAACCTTTTTCTAACTCTTTCCCTTGTTTCTGCAAAGACAGTTGGGAAGACAGGCGGAATAGCAAATGTCCACACACATATCCAGTACATCTCTGGATGTGTATTGTTGCCTCCGTGTTCTTGAGTCAGATCACTGAAAATTGTTGACCTATGCAGCTGGAGGCCTTATACTAATAGCATCTCTCTTCATACTGCAGTTCCACTATATGAATTTTCCTCGCAGGGAACAGATGTCATTCATATTTCTATTTCTCCCCTGGCTGAGAACTTGCAGAGCCCCAAACAATCCTTAGTTGATCTCCTTCCACGAATAACAAAAGTGCATCATCAGGAAATTCATTCATATCTTTGACCATCTGAGCAAACACAGAACAATTTGACACTTGCAGTTGAGGATGTCAAACAGTTTGTCAAGTTTCATAATGAAAGTCTCTTTGACATATAGCTTTCCTCTACCAAGAGATATGTTTTTGGCTTGATCCTAGCTCTCTTGGATCTTGTTCAAGATTGTTATTCATGAATTTACAACAGGGGTCACAAACAACTGTTCACTCATTGCCACTTTGCAAGTACTTTTGGATATATGTCTCTTGCAATACTGGCTGCTGGGTAGTTTCTAGTATCACCACTACTGTCAGTCTGTATTTCTTTCTTGGATTTTGAATGGAGCACAGACTGACATTATTCTGAATCTAAGAAATTAGGCGCGCAGATCACATATACAAAGGGATGGAATTGTTCCCACCCCCCCAAAGTTCAAAAGATCGTTCCAATCAAAAGTTCTGGATATGGTCATGTGGGCATCTTCAGCTGGTGATGAGGCCTCTGTCCATTGACCTTGACATATTTTGATAAAGATTTGCAGTTGCGCAGAGAAAAGAAGGCTAAGCAAGTAGAAAAGATCTTGAAGGCTAACAACTACTTTGCTCTCTTAATGGTAGGCCATATCTGAGAATGTTTTGCAGTGTTGGGAGTTCAGATGGTAACAAGTCTCTGTTGGTCCCAATAAAGTTGCTCATATGAATGAATGTTCACAGTCTTGTTCTTTTTTTAGAAGCCATTACAGACCAGTTATCAAACTCACAGGAAACAAGGTCAGTAGTGTTCAACTCTCAGACAAAATAACCTTTAACAAAAAGAGAAAGATAGCTGAACTTGTGTAATGAAACAAACAAAATGTTAAAAAGTTATGATGTTTATGTAGTTATTTACCAAGCATATCTAAATTATATTACAGTAACCAAAATATATTTACAATTCCCAAGGCATGTCACAATGTTTGACAACACCTAATGTTTGGAAACTGAAAGTTGAAAAAATTGACATGCCCTACTGGCAGATGTTAATTATTTTAAAAGTTAAAATAAGCAAAAAAAAAATAGTAAGAGAACACCTGTTTAATCTTGATGAGTACAAATCACCAGGGCCTAACTGATTACTGTATTTTTCAGAGTATAAGATGCTCCGAAGTATAACACACACCTAGTTTTTGGGGAGGAAAACAAGAAAAAAAATCTGTTTCTGCCTCCCAACAATGTGCCTCCTTGCAGCAAATAGCAAACAGCTTGTTTCTGGGCAGTGGGGATCAGAATGGGTAAAAAATGGAATACGCAGAGACTCAAAACGGGATGTGCGGAGGCTGAAAATGGGGCATGTGGATGCGGCAATAGGCTATGGCAATCCCTGCAGCCTGAAACAGCTGATCGTCGGGAGGCTGATCCAACTGACAATCAGCTGCTTGTGCTAATCAGGCTGTGCCGAAACCGAAACAGGCTATTTGCTGTTTGCTGCAACAAGGTAAATTGCTGGGAGGCAGAAGCCAAAGGGTAGGATCTGGCAGGTGGGTGGGGCTTTGGCAACATTTGCTGTATAAGATGCACAGACATTTCCACCCACTTTTGGGGTGGAAAAAGTACATCTTATACTCTGAAAAATAAGGCACATCCCAGAGTTCTATAGGAGCTGGCAGATGTCATCTCAGAACCACTGTACCACATCTTTCAAAAATCCTGGAGCACCAGGGAACTACCAGAGGACTGGAAAAGAATTGATGTAGTTCCCATCTTCAAAAAAAGGGGAAAAAACAGACTCAGGAAAGTACAGACCAATCAGCCTAACATCAATACTTGGGAAGATACTGGAAAAGATAATTAAAAAAAATCTGCCAACACTTAGAAATGAAAAAAATTAATAACTAGCAGTCATCATGGGTTTGTTAAAAACAAATCATGCCAAACCAATCTTCAACATAGTGACTAAATTAGTAGACCATGAAATACTGTAGACATAATATACTTAGACTTCAGCAAGGTATTTGATAAAGTAGACCACATCCTACTTCTTTTTTTAAAAATAAATTTTATTGATTTTACAATTAAAACAAACCAACAACACATACATAAATGAAAGAGAGAAAAAGAAGAAAGGGAGAAGAAAATAGAAAGAAAAAAATAGAAAACAATTAAAAACATTCTCATCTTCAACAGTTTGTAAGACCTCTTTTTTATCCTTATTTTATGCCATATACACACACCTAATCCTTACGTATATCTGTGTATCACTACTATGGATTTATCCTATCCTCTTTTGCCTTTTAGTGTGAAGTCTATCTTTGGTCTATCCATTTGTACCAGCAGTTCCAGCTGTTGTAATGTTGTAAAGTGTCTTTATTTTTTAATGCCAAAGTTAATTTGTCCATTTCTGCACAACTTGAATTTTTTTGAATGATCATCTCCTCTGATGGAACATGAGGCTGCTTCCAACATTGGGCAAAAGCCAATCTGGCCGCTGTCAAAATGTGTATTATTATATATTTCACTTTTTTAAATATTTGTTTATCAAAGATCCCTAACAGAAAGGACTCTAGTTTGAATTTGATCTTGTCATTTCTTCTGGCCAATTTCTAATTTTCTGCCAATATTTTTGAGCTTCTGTACAGGACCACCACATATGGAAAAAAGTTCCCTCTTTTTTTTTGCATTTCCAGCAATTCGGACTCATATTGGGGTGCATCTTCGCTAATCTCGAAGGAGGAAGGTGCCATCTATAAAACATTTTATAGGCGTTTTCTTTGTATGCTACCGATTTTGTAATTTTATTATTTTTACCCCAGACCTTTTCCCATTCTGTTATGGTGATGCTACGTCCTATATTCCTGCTCCAGGCTATCATGTTCCCTTTTACAATTTCTTCTTCTAATTCTACTTCTAATAAATAATTATAAAATTTTGTTATATTTTTTTTGCCTGATCCTAATAAAATTTTATCTAATTGCTGGAGTTTATTGTTAATTCCAAATTCTTTCTTGTCCTGTTTATATCTACTTTGAATTTGAAGATATGCCCACTGATCAATTTTTAGTCCCCGCTCTTGAAGTTCTTGCCGCGATTTCAAATTTCCTTGTGTATCCAATAGATCCTTATATTTAATCATTGTAGTGATATCCAGATTATTTGGGTGAATCATTGCCTCTATTGTTGAAATCCAAATTGGTATTTTTAAATAGTGTTTTTTCCGTATTTTCTTCCAATTAGTTAATAATGAGTCTCTGATTAGGTGTCTGTGAAAATATTTCTGGCTAGTTTTCCCTACATCCCATAAAAAAGCATGCCACCCCCTTTGCAAGTCATGGCCTTCTAAGAATAATATTCTACTTCTTGATAAGCTAGAAAAAAGGGGGATAGATAGCATCACCACCAGATGGATTCATAACTGGCTGACAAACCATACTCAGTGAGTAGTCCTTAATGGGTCTACATCTACATGAATGGAAGTAAGCAGTGGGGTACCACAAGGTTCCATCTTAGGCCCAGTACTCTTCAATATTTTCATAAATTACTTAGATGAGGGAATAGAAGGGGAACATCAAATTTGTGGATGATATTAAGCTGGCAGGAGCAGCTAATGCCCTAGAAGATAGACTCAAGATCCAGATGGATTTTGACAGACTTGAACACTGGGCCCTATCTAACAAAATGAAATTCAATGTAGAGAAAAGTAGAATCCTACACTTAGGCAAGAGAAACCAAAAGTATACATATATAGACTGGGTGAAGCCAAGCTTACTAGCAGTAACTGTGAGAGGG